TTTTTTATTTATATTATAAATTGATTAAAAGATAAATTTTTTTTTAAATCAACTTGATTATAACAAATAAAACCATGATAAAAATATAAAAAAAATCCTAAATAAAAATTAAAAGAAATTTTAATTTTAAAACTAATTTACTTTTTAATAAAACATGATTTAACATGGATTGGTATTAACAATCAGCAAGGGACTAGATGAGGCTCGTGCTATACCATGAGTACATGTTATATTTGTTTTTGTAAATATTTAAGTGTTGTAAGTGCTTTTTAATGAAAAAAAATAATCAATAACTCATGTTAGAACCCTAATCAAATAAGTTAGTTTTAAAAATCATATTATAGATAACTTTTAAAACTCGTGATAGTGATATAGATTATTAGAACATAAACAAGAAGTTCAATCCTAAATAAATTAAATATAAAAAAATAAAATTAAAATAAGTTAATTATTTAAAAAAATTTAAATTAAACATTAATAATTAAAAAAATGAAGATAAAAATTTAAAATAATTTTATTTTTTTAAGTTACAGGTAATTAAGTTATTTAGCTATTTAAAAATTATAGAAAAGATACTATTGATTCTTGTTGAAACTGAAAAACCGTAAATCCAACGGTGTATCGAATAATAAAATGCGCGTGGATGTAAGTCTTTGGAAAGCCATCACATCGCTAGGGCTTGGGAAAAGCTAAAATCAGCCTTTTCATTAGAGGCCGTGTTTTTCACAGCATTTCATTAAATTTTTAAACAAAATTATTTAAAATGAATGTTTTTATATTGGTTTAATGTAATAAAACATGAAAAATATAATCTTATTATTTTAAAAAAATAATTTTAAAAAACAAGTACGTTGTCGAACACTAATGTACGCTTTCCTTGCGTTTAGTTGTCGGACAGTACTGGCCAAAGCTGGTTTGGAGGGTCATAAATTTTTAAATTAAAAGGTTAATAAGATGATTAATTAAGATAATCAGTAGCTATAATTATATTCCATGTTTTAAATATTGTTTTTCTTTCAAAAGAAACCAAATAAAATCATTTGATTATTAATATATATTAAGAATAGTTTCGTTATTAATAATCTTAAAAAATAATAGCTCTGGAAAGAGAGGTACTTTTTTAGAGTACCATAAGAAGAACATTCATTGAACCATACTTCTAATTAGTTGCTTTGTGTGCGAGGAGGCGGCTTTTGCGGAACAAAGCTTGATATCTAATCCCAGTGGAGAAATTGCTCTGAACAAAGAAGACGACGCGCATATTCCTGAGGAAACAATAATGAAGACTGGAGATTGAAAAACGGGAGAATGGTGGACTTGATTCTCAATGTCCAAAGCTTCAGGTCCTGGAAATGGAGGAATTAATGAAAGTCCAAGGGTTTCTCTGAATCAAAACGTGTCTAATGTTCATTTTAGCTCTCTTTTTTATCGTTTCAAATCCACCATCTTGTTGAAAAGAGAGAGAGAATTGCGGGAGGGCTCCTGCGGCTTTGTGAAGGATGGCATTTTTATTATACATCGAAGTTTTGATCATCTCTTGAGAACATGAATTACCTGGAGGAACTCTAGGGAATTGAATCTGAGGAGGGTACACAGGCAGCAACAACTGACAAATTCCATTCAATATAAAACGTTTTTTATGGCATCTACAAAAATAAGGGCAAAATATGAATGACAGTTGAGATTCGAAAGGAAAGAACGATTCTTATCAGAATTAATAATGAAAATTAACAATCAAAGATCACTGGATCGGAAAAGGAAGTTTATGAATTAATAATTAAAATCAACAATTAAGTGTCATTAGATCAGAAAAACAGTGGCTAATACTATTAGCTGAAGCACATAAGAAATACCTAGTGAAAACGTTGATAGAATTGGCCTAGCGAAGCTGATGATTTTATTACCTTACCGCAGCAATGACGATCTGAGCTCATGTTCCTTGTCACAATGAGTCAAGCGTTCTTTAAAAGCTGAAGTAGTTGTTTTATATCATTAAGTTGATCATTAAAAAGCATATCAAAAGGGAATTCAACCACAAAAAGCACTTGCACGAAAACCAGGCCACCTATTTGACTAAAATAATGATTGAACAACAAACATGTAGGCACATTTTCATGCCTTGATCCAAACTAACAAACAAATTCAGAAGATGCTTCCAAACTAAACTTAAAGAATACCAAGCTCGTAACAGAAATGAGAACTTAAGGCAATCAAACCATGCCAAAATCTTAAGTTCACACTATGATCATCTTCAATGAAGCTCATGTCTTTATGCCGGTATATGTTTGCACACTACCATCAAAAAGAGACAAGAAGAAGCTCTGTACTTGTTCCAGAAATACAGATCTCAGTTCATATGACAAAACAAAAACTAAAATTTGGATCTTCAACACAGGAGGCTTTGGCAAGATGCAACCTACGCATGCTGAAGAATTCGACCCACAAAAGATCTAACCTTCCTCTGAATACTTTAGAAAAAGCGTCATGGCATCTCATATACATCAAAATCAGTAGTCAACCCCTAACAGACCTTTAAATCTACATGCATGAAGTAAACCCTAAATCCAGAGTCCTTTATTGATAAGCAATGATGTCATAGTTAACAAATAGAATTTTGACGAAACAAAACAAGCACACCAATAATTACTAAGACTCAAAAATAAAATTCAAGAGGAATCAGTTTCATGATTTATACTTAAAAAATAAAAGCGGACATACCAACACATGCACTTTGCAAGCTTACTAACACGAAGCGAACAAGTCATGTTTCACAGAAAACCTCAAGCAAACACATCTAGACTCACATTCTGAATAAAAAGAGATAGGAGTGGGTGTTATTCCTAATGCTTTATAACATCTATGGTGTTTTCTCGTTATATGTCTTGGTACTTGCTATATTGCTTGACCATAATTGAAAACATTTCTCATCCAGTAATCAGTGTATAAAGAATCCACAGAATACTCCATTAATTGTGTGCATTTGATTCCATCAAAATACAGTTTATACAATAAGTATACTGCCTTAAAAGATCATTTACATTGTACTCATAATAGCATGTTGAGAATCAAGGAAACAACAAACCATCACACTGAAACTATTCCATACTTTGATGGACTTACAATTGACAGCTTGCTGTCGTAGCTTTGACATCACCCAATCCTATGCAGGCACAAATCGGAATTAGCAACAGCAGTGGCTAACATGATAGCTACCCAGTTAGGTATGAGATGAGAACCATTAGTGAGGGGTCTGAAAATCCACCAACAACCAAAGAGAGGCAGGGATCCGGCACGGGATATTGATGAACAGTTTATGGAGCATGTTCCAAAGTGGTATGTTTTCTTGTGATCCGCACTCAGCAATATATCTCAATTTATTAAATATTGATGAACAGTTTATGGGGCATGTTCCAAAGTGGTATGTTTTCTTGTGACCCGCACTCAGCGATAAATCTCAATTTATTAACTATGTTTGAAATTCTAAATTTCTTCTATAATCAAAGTCAATAAGTTATAGCAGATGTCCTCTAACACCCTTGATATCCTATCTAGATGTGTCAAAGGTCATCCTTAACTTAATATATGGGCGCTGATTAAGTTTTTACCATAACTTTATTCTTGATCTACACCATATAGGAAATCGCGTACTCGGTAGATGTTTTAGTACTATCTCATTTCTTTTCACGAGTCTTTGAACAGTCATCTGTTACACTTGAACAAGGACACATATCACTTCACTAGAAAAAATACTAATCCATTTCACACACAAATAGCTTTTAGCTTATTACATAACAGTGGCGAAAGAGATTTATTTTAGAGCAATCCAAGATTGCTAAAGTCTTAAACTTAGTTGTTGATTTCAAGGTGCTTGTGTGGCTCCCCAATTAGGAACTGCATTATACCTGACATTCAGTTCCAAGCATGTCTATCTTGTCAGCTTCATGTGCTACAACGCACAAGAAACTCACCGAGTTTGATTTTAATAAATTGCTCAACAGCTTACAATACCTTAAAATGGAGCAAAGAGAGCAATAAGAACGTACCTGCCACTCAGAGATGACCTCCACAGATGCAGTCCTGAATAGCTGTTGTCCAATAAATGCTTATAAAAAGAATTTATCACGCTGCAATCAACCACACCCAAAATACGACCCATTTAAATTACTCAATTTCTCAGACCACCTTCCTTCCTTCAGAATTGGGTTTAAACCCTTCGTTTTATATTTATCACTATCATTTAACCTTGATAAAACAAATTATTCTTACTGACCACTAAGGCACTAACTCTTATAACAGAAATTGGACTGCCATCCTCAAATACACATCAAAATTTAATACAAATGCACAAACAATTTCCAAGCAAGGACAGGGGGCAGCCTCACCCTTCTTGAGATTTCTTTTTAACGCAATGTTGCATGTTGCTTAGCTTCCTAACAAGTCATAGAGGAAGACTATTCAGCAATTGAGTGCTTCGTTTGCAACTAAAACCCAAAAGAACAGATTCAAAGATGCATGCACAGTGCAACCAAACACAGATTCAAAGATGCATATAGAGTGCAACCATAAAATAGGGTTCAAATAAACAAATAAAAACGAACTGTCCTGGAAAGATAGAGGAAGACTCAAATAAGAAATTAGGCTTCCTCAAATTCACTCCTTCAGTGACAGGTCCTAAAGGTGAGTTTCACAATATAATGTGAAAATTCATGAAGGTAAAAAAAAAAAAAACAAAATTATGGTCATTACCGTAAGAGTTTCATTTCCTTCATGTATATAATTGGTGTCTCCCTCAAAACATCGGGGAAAAAAAAGAAAACGTTCTAAGAAAAATAATAGATTGCCAGAAACGGAATGCAAGCTGAAAGACTATTGTTATATTGATATCAACTGAAAAGAGAACAGGGCCCGACTTCAAAAACCAAAGTTCCTTGAAACTTAACAAAAGAAAACCATGCATGTTGAAGAATCAAAAAGACCAATCTGCATCTCCATCTAAACCATCATATATAACCCAAAGAAAGAAAATAAAACATATTTTCAAGGTCCATCAAAACTAGTCCACCCCCTAAAATAGGTTCTCCTTTCTATGCTATAACCATCCTAATAATCTTGAGACTTTAAAGCATCTAAAGCTAGCTTCATCTGTTTTGCAATCAAATCATTTTCCATCATGAAAAACTCCAACTTAGCGTTCATCAAACTCCTCCACTCCCTTTCCAACTCCACCAAATTTTCCTCTGGAACCTTCCCCAGCATCATCATTGCTCTCTCCTTCACATCCTCAGGCAAATCTTCAGCCAGCAACGATGAACGCAAATACGGATACTTATCCCACAAATTCTCACCTCCCTCCACTTCCTCATTTTCCACTGCCTTTTGCTTCTTCATACTTGATTCCTTCCATTCTCCATTCACGACCCTCTTTTGCTTCTTCACATTCGCATCCTCTCCTCCACTCAGCTCGTTGTTAGCAGCCTGCTTCTCCTTTTTTCCACCCTTTCCCTTCCTTTCTCCAATGACTTCCTCACTCAAACCCCTCTTCCCCTTCTTCACATTCCCCTCCTCTCCCCCATCGCCTTCCTCACTCAAAACCCGCTTTTTCTTCTTCAAATTCCCTTGCTTTCCTTCTCCGCTCACTTCCTCACTCGAACCCCTCTTCCCCCTCTTTACACTCGCCTCCTTTCCCTTCCCATTCACTTCCCCACTCCCCAATTTCGCCAACGCCAGAATAATCCCTCCTCCACCACCACTAACATTTTTCCCACTGTTTTTACTAGCATTACTCTCATTCCCCACGACAATAGCACCAGCACCCCATATTTTTTTTGCAAGCTCTACGCACTCCAAATCATGCGGTTTCTTAAAAGTCTCATATTTCCCACTCTCATTCTTCTCCACATCAGTAAAATACTTCTTCTTCAACATCCTAATTTTATTAACAAACTGATTATTGGATGCATTAAAACAGAGTGATTCCTTCACAAATCCATAAAAATCACCAGTGTCTGCAGTAGAGTTTTTCCCCTTTTCATTTTGGAACTCAATCATGCCTTTTAATATCACAATCTCATCCTCATCACTCCATATACGCTGAGACCCTCCGGTCTCAGGTCCGGCTCCCTTCTTTGCTTTCTTGTCATCAACGTCCTTCTCCTTCTTGGGCTGATCTGGTTTTGGGTCAGGTTTGAGCTTCGGCGAGATGGGCTTGATAGTGAAACCAGAAAGAGAAGGTGACGGTGGATGAGTTGACTCAGTATCTTCTGAGTCAGCGTCCGAGTCGGACTCCGAGCTTGGCTTTGAAGGTTTGGAAGGCAAGTCGGGTTTCTTTTTCTCCACTTCTTCATCATCATCTTCTTCTTCGTCGTCTTCAGTTCTATCTTCGTCGTCGTTTGATTTCTCACCGGCAGCGTTTTGCTGAGTTTTGGCGGTGCCGTTTTGAGGTTCTTCTTCTTTGTCATCGGTTTCTTCTTCTTCGGAAGACGAAACGGCAGGTGGAGGCTCTTCGATCAGGTGTTTCCGAGCCATTTAGGGTTTTTACTTTTTATTTTTGGATTTTTTTTTTGGGGGGGGGGGGTGTGAGAAACTGCAAGTGACTGATACACTGACTGCTCTGCTCGGCGACTTTGAGTGGGATCTTATTATTTCTTGTAGCTTTGTTTTATTATTATTATTTTGTTATTTTGATTAAAAAAAATTAAATTTTCATTTAAAGTGTTAGCAGGAGGGGTGGGGGTGGGGGGTTCTTTGTTTGCTCCATGGGGAATTTGACAACGCTAGATTTAATTTTATTGTTATTTTCAGAATTATAATTTCGTGACTAATATCATCATCTTTCTTAACATTTCATTAATGAAAGAGGCACCCAAGATTGTGTTTTTAGCCTGTATGCTTTGTGAATCTATGGAACATAAAATTAATGAGAATTGCTTTTTAAAAAAATAATTATATATTCTATAAAAAAACTACTAAATTAGTAAAAAAAATCTTGGAGGAAAACCCACCTATAATTATTAAATTATAAATGGTTAATGAGTTAATTTAATGATTCATCTAAACAAAATTAAAATTGCTTTCAAATTGAATTAAGAGTTAATCTGTTTCTATAGCAAAATTAACTTTAAGAATTCCTTTTTACTTTTATCCAGAATAACATCATTTAAGTTTTTCTTTAAAAAAATTGTTTAAACAAAGTTTTATTAAACGAAATAAACCCAGATTGTCCTAGCTAAGCCATGACTAGGAACACAACTGCTGGCTCAACAATCTGGATTCCGCACCTTCGAAATACAGGGTATTCTCAACGAGATCAGATAAGTACATGGATATGTTTGGAAATGGTGGTGTTTAAAGTATTTTTTATTTTAAAAAATATTAATAATATATTTTTTTAAAAAAAAAAATTATTTTTAAAATTAACATATTAAAAAATAATTTAAAAATATTAAAAATATATTAATTTTTTTAAAAAAATCAAACTTCTTTAAAAATATTTTTGAAATACAGTACCGAACCCTTACCTTGTTCCTTGTTTGCTTTCCTCGTTTTTTCGAAGAGAGAAGCAAAATACATCGCGGACGATCTTGCCAAGCAGAGATTCATTATTTACTGCTGCTTTTTTACATCTAACACGCAGAACTCCCTGGCATCTTCCGTTGCTCCAAGCTTCTTCAAAGTTATAGCACGGCTAGCATCCCCAAGGCTACAGCATTATAAAAGAAAAGCTTTACTGCTTCTTTTTTAACCACGGGAGCGGGCTGGGGTCGGATTGCGTTATGCGTCCGGTACAAAGACGATTCGTAGAAATTCTTGAATAGTAGAAATTGTATCTCTACCTTCCACGAGAAACATCAAGATTCACCGGCCCTGCCTCAGTGAATCTAGCAACTGTTACATCCAAATCAAAGCATGAAAAGGCAGGATCCGTGGAAAGAGAGCCTGGATTAACAGTACATTAGAAGCTTGTTAAGAATACTATAGCATGCATGCATGCTACATGTGATGAATGCATGATCAATGACCAGTATCAAACCTAACAAGATCTACGAAGATGTAGAACAAGTTCAGTAGCATGAGGATAGCTCCGACCAAATTCCCAATTGGATTGGATTTCTGCTGTTGAAATATTCTCAACCATGAACAATAGAAACCATCTCTGTGAAATTTTCAAACCATATACACCGCTCTTTCATCCTCTTATTCTGGAAAAACACAAGGATGGTGTGCTTCCACCTGTACATGGAAATAACCCAAGTATACATTTGTTGTTCTCGTCATCGTCTTATCAAGTGTGGATATTTGAGAGCTCTTCCCATTGGTTGATGGACAAAAGGGAAAGAAAAACAAAAATAACAGATTAAACAAAAGGCGAGTCCAGTCTCAATCATTTAAACACCTACTTGTAAAACCACCTCTCAACTCTTGTTGTTACTAGCACCAATGCTCTCATAAAATAAGATATACCCATGATCCGTATTACTTGAATATTCCTGCGCTGACCCAAAAAATGTCTGCACAGCAGACTCGTCAATCATCTCGACATTTTCATCATCAAAAAATAACCAGTGGTTGTGGCTTTTCACAAGGCTCACATAGTGCCCATGATTAGGTCCACTTCCCACATGGACTACAACGGCAAATAGCGAGTACTCGATATCTGCGTCTTCCACGGTATTGCTCAACTTCAGCTCAAGTGGGAAGACAACTCTGTAAGACAGCTTTTTGTACCGACCAAGCTGCTCAATATATTTAAACCTCTTCAGATGGATGACCAAGATGTGAGGAGGCTTCTTTATCTTCATCCTCTTTTGGGCTTCTTGCAAACTGCATACAAAGGAAACAATACAGAAGATTTACTGCATAATTACTAGACTAGAAATGTCCAATCACTTGAATGCTCTGAAACATCAGAGGTGGACGGACCAATCATCCAAGTTAACAGTCAAAAGTTCAATCAGGCCATGAAAAGTTGAAAAAGAATCACAAAAACATTGTTCAGCCAGTAAAACGAGTGCTGAGTGATATTTAAGATCGCCCTGTTCATTCAAATTGTAGTTCAGCAACCTTTCAGGAAATCAAACCAAACTACTACTCAATCCAACTGTTTAATTTTTCCACATCTGGTTTTACAAGGGGGGAACAAAGCCTTTTACCTATAAAACAACAAAGATATATCATTTATCACAATCCTTTACATGAAATAAAATATAATTTGTATGTTAGTTCAAGAGATTTCTGAATGCTTTAGTGTCACTGTTATCTCTTAGCTAGGCTCTGAGCAGGGAATAATTGTCCAGAGTAAGTGAAATCGTATCCTGTATAATTCCAGAAGAAACATTGACTGAACTTCACCGTACAGACTACTGGGAAACAAATACTGGAACAGAAAGTGATTTCAAATATTCAACAAATATGAAGGGGTTATCCAGAATTGATACAAGTCAATGCCAGGAAATAATTGAGCAAAAAGCACCTACCTGCAGCACTTGTCACAGAAAAACTTATCCTCTGCATTCAACGTCTCTGTGGAACTAAAATTCTTCAAGCAGCTTGTAATGGAACTGTTTTGTTCAATATCAAGGCTCAAGTCAAAAAACGTTTCATCTCTTGCTGTCACAGTCTCACATTGCAAGCACCTTGTCTCGTTGGTAAGTATTCCCTGATTTATATACACATAAGAGACGATGAGAACTCTACCCTAAAAGAAGAGAAGAAAAGGGAAAATTCCATCTCCATACAACAATGCATGTGTGAGGAACTAAAATACAAATTCACATTAAGATCATTCAACTACATTAACGATTCACCACATAGAAAATGTCAAATTTAGAATGAATGTATTGGCTGCTTAAAGTCACCTGAAAATTTTTGTGCACCCAAGTAACCAAAGGCTCTTTTGAAACACCATTTCCCTGAGCATGCTTTGGTCCATTTGCAATTTTTTCAGGTGGGGAAGAAGTTTCAGGATCACTTTTTACAGCTTGGGCCTCTTTCTCCAGAATGTCAACCAGTTCATTTAGCAAAAAATTCAAAAACTCATGAGCATCCTACATGAAAAACAGAGATAGTGTTCAACTCCTCTTGTTGTTTTATTATATCATTTCACATTTTGTGTCTGACCAATCCCCAGACTCACAATTAAATGAACAAATACCTGGTGCATATAGCTTCGGAAAAGCTCATTTTGTTTTTTCAATCTCTGTACGAAACGCTTTGGAGCAATGACACCTGTTTTCTTCTTCTGTGAACTTATCTATGCAAAAGAAATAACAGTTAGCTCCAGCACCATGGCTAAACTACTAAATAAGTAACAAATATATGTTCTGTACAGGGAACTCTTTCTTTCCCCTCATTTCTCTGTACTTTTGTGAAAATGCACAGAGCACACAAGCACGCAGAAAGTACACAAGTACCAAGAAATATCCTGCTCATGAAGAATTGGAGACCTAGTTACACTTGTTGAAAAAGATCATTAATCAATAACAGAGAGAGCAGCTTTGGATTTAAAAATATCCACAAATATTCCCAAGTGCACCACTTAAGAGCACAAGAATCTGAAAAGTGTAGTGCAAGGATGCTATCAAAGCTATTGACAAAATCAAATAAAAAATATCAACAAACAGTTAGGTCTTGGCTTGTTCAACGACTGTTGAAGGAAAAGAATTGAGAATAATGGCTAAGGAATGTAGTTCTAACAAGAGGGGAAACTAGATTTAGAACCCAATGACTGGTTTAATTACGTTCCTTATGTAGACCCAAAAAACCTGTGAAATTGTCTGATTTGTTCTTAGCAGGAAATAAAACTTCAGAAAAGCATATCGAACAAACAATATTCTGCCTTCAACTACAGGTATTGCATGAATAAAGGAAACAATTAGCAGAAGATGTAGATATCACGCATCCCAATATGGCATATTGATAAGAGTTTTTTTCCCCTCATCAGCAGACTAAGTAAAAAGCATTTAGAGAAAGATTTGCAGCTAAAATGGGTTAAAAGGAACAATAATGACACCTCAGTTCTCTTCTTTTAATAAGTATCACTCTATACTTCTACATGCATTTATTTCCTCTCTTTTTGACAAGAAAACTCAAATGAAGGAGATGGTCAAGCGGAGAACAAGCACCAAAATGATACAGAAAGAACATAAGCTGACATGCAGAAAAGGAGAAAACAAAGAATAAAAATAAATAGCAGTGAAGATATGGAGATTAGAAATCCTACTAGTCCAAGTAACCATGATGTAAGACCATCTAGTAAAGGAATAAACTTATGGGGTGAGGTGCTGCAAACACTTGAAAGGACGAAAACAATTTTCACATAGCATCTCACAAGAACTGTTACCAAAAAAGTAACGCAAAAACACCAATCATGGAGTTATTACTACCTGGGTAAATAGATCTGCCAAGCAAGTCAAGAGATTCTCTTCCGCATCCCCAATACTTTTACCATTACCATAATATTCTAACAAGTGTTCTCGAAATGGTACACAGAAGTAAAGCGCCTGCATAACAAAGAAACAAACACCGATAAGACACAAACGGAGAGCTATGTAGCACAACAGTACATTCCCCTCCGCTATCATTATAAACCAAATACAATGCCTTAAAATCATATTCACAAACACTTTTCAAGAAGACCTGCATGGATTACAATAAAATGTTGCCATGATTCTCCAA